GAAGGAAAGTCGACTGTGAAAAAACACAGGTAAGCCGAAATACAAAAATCCCCATGCAAAATGCACTCCTAAATTGGTCACCCAGATACTTTGAATTGCACCCCTCTTGTGAGCACGGATTCTCCGAACCCGGGGACCTCACCTTTGGACGCCCTGCTGGGGCAGCCTCTCCACACGGCTTCGGGACGATGACCGTGACCCTGTGTGTACCTCTGGTTACCAAGCATTTTCAGTCTGAGGTGTCCCGGACTTGGTATATCTTCAGACGAGGTTGAGCTGGGAAGGAACTCTGCTGACATGCACCTGTAGTTATTTGGAACTTTCTGGAACATCAAAAGAGTAATACGCCATGGACATGGCCTGGGGATATGTGCCACTTTGACAGTGGGGATTTGCTGTGTTTTCCTTCAGGTTCACATATTTTGGTTCTCAACTCAGAATAAGGAAGGTTAAAAATTTCTATTTAATTGAGGGGCACCTGGGTGGCTCAATCGGTTGAGCGTCCGACTTCAGCTCAGGTCAGGATCTCACAGTTCGTGAGATTAAGCCCCACGTCAGGCTCTGTGCTGACAGCTTGGAGCCTGGAGCTGCTTCGCATTCTGTGTCTCCTTCTCTCTCTGCCCCTCCCCTGCTTGCACTTTGTCTCTGTCTCTCTCAAAAATGCAAATATTTTAAAAAAGAAGAATTTCTGTTTAATTGAAAACATTGTTTCCCCCTGATGTTGAGAAACTGGCTATCTGCCTGTTCATGTAACTGCCCCCGTGTCCTGGGGACCCCACCCTGTGACTCTCCATAACCACCCCTGTCTAGGGCTGTGTCCTTCAGAGTTCTGTTCCAGAGAAGCTAGTAGTTTGGGTTTTTTACTCCAAATAAAAGTTCCTCATTACTTCGTGGTCCCTCATCTTGGAGTTCTTTGAGGGTTTCTTTTTAATAATATTTAAATTTCAGTCCTGTAATTTGAGTTGGTGCCTCGTTAATGGGAAGAAATGATTTCATGTCGTCTTTCTCCCTACTGTGCTGGGGTCGCCCGTGGCTCCAAGCAGCGGGGGCCTTGCTGCCCCCAGAGATGGTGGCGGAAGGAGCCCTGGTGTTGCCTGCAGGCTGCGAGCCGCCCGTCGGGGGTGACTGCTGTGTTTTATTTTAAACTCAAATTCCGTAGCCGGTGTGTGAGGATGCATTTTCTTAGTAATACCTATCGAGGGGGGGGGCGTTGAGTGGGGCACACAGTGGTCTCTTCCAAAAATAAGACACAGCTTCCGTGACTTTGGATTCCTAGCTGGCTTGAGAACACACACACACACACACACACACACACACACACTCCCACAGGTGTGCCTCCAGTGCGTGTTCATTCTTCCAGTGTCACTGCCCTGGGCACTTGAAGGGAAGTCGGGCTGCGAGCCTGCTCTTGGCCCGCTGGCCGTGAGATGCACCGGCTCCCCTAGGCGGGCCCACGGCCCCCAGCCCTCAGAAAGGTCTGACAGGGGAGGAGGGTGAAGGCGTATCCTGGGATCTTCATCTTTGCAAATCTTTGGTTATTTTTCATTTAGCCTCACCTGAGGCAGCCTTGTTCTGACCAGTGATGACGGTTTTTATGTATTTTTTAAGTTTATTTATTTATTTTATTTATTTCTAGGAGAGAGAGACAGCGTGAGCAGGGGAGGGTCAGAGAGAGAGGGAGACACAGACTCCGAAACAGGCTCCAGGCTCTGAGCTGGCAGTCAGCACAGAGCCCGACGCGGGGCTCGAACCCACGAACCGCGAGATCATGACCTAAGCGAAAGTCGGACGCTCAACTGACTAAGCCACCCAGGCACCCCAAGTTTATTTATTTTTGACAGAGAGAGAGAATGAGCCAGGGAGGGGCAGAGAGAGAGGGAGAGAGAGAGAATTCCAAGCAGGGTCTGCACTGCCAGCACAGAGCACGATTCGGGGCTCTAACTTGGGAACCATGAGGCTGAGCTGAAACCAAGGGGCAGACACGTAACCGACTGCGCCACCCAGGCGCCCCCGTGATGAGTTTGTAAATTATTTTAAATGGAAGATGATAGATTTTTTTTTTTGTCAGTTAAGCGTTTATTTTAATCTGGTGGCCACTAACACAAATCCCCATCGGAGCCGGGATGTGTTTGCAAGTAAAGAGGTGCCACACCTGTGTCCCAGTGTTTACGTGGCCCTGGACCTTTGTCCAATGGGCCTGCGTAATTTCTAGTGCATACTTTTAAAAAATGTTTATTTACTTATCTAATTATACTTTTTAATGTTTATTTTTGAGAGGGTGAGAGCGAGGGAAAAGGAGTGTATGTGAACAGGGGAGGGTCAGAGAGAGAGGGAGACACAGAATCCGAAGCAGCTCCAGGCTCCGAGCTGTCAGCACAGAGCCCGATGCGGGGCTCGAACCCGTGAACCATGAGATCATGACCTGAGCTAAATTCGGACACTTAACTGACTGAGCCACCCAGGCGCCCTTATTTATTTATTTGAGAGAGAGAGAGAGAGAAAGCATGTGCACACGAGCAGGGGAGGGGCAGAGAGAGAGTCCCAAGCAGGCTTCTTGCTGCCAGGGCAGAGCCCAGCATGGGACTCAAACTCACGAACTGTGAGATCATGACCTGAGCCCTGATGAAGAGTTGGGCGCTCCAGCACCTGAGCCACCCAGGCAGCCCTTTCTAGAGCCTGCTTAATATTTGTCGCGATGAACACAACCTTAGGTGCCGTGCGATAAAGAATCAGCACTTCGCTGAGGAATCCTGCTCCGTTTCATTTTTATGCCTGTTGCCTTATTGTTGTGGTTCCTATTAAACACTGTATTGTACACGTGTTTTACATGCCAGTTGGGAGAAAGGTTAACAGGTTTCCAGAGGGAACCGTGCAAGAGCATCTCCTCATTGCTCTTGTCCCCAGACCGCCTGCTTCCCAATCCTTCAGTCAGGAGCTGTTGACCGGAGGAACTCTTGGCCAAGCCTGTATGTGTGTCTTGTATTTGTAGTGCCCCTTGTACACACACACCCCACCCCACTCACCGTGGCTTGGGGACAGTTACATTTCTGCGTGTTGAGCCTTCGTGCGTTCTTGCCAGCCCCTTAGTGTTCCGTTATACGGAAGTATCAAAGTCTGCCAACCCAGCCTTGCGTTCCTCACACGTTACAGGACCAGGGCACAGCTGGGACACTTGGAGCGTACAGTTCATGTCGGGAGCGTCACGGTCATTGACTCTCCTGGATCATTGGGGCCACCCTGTAGGTCCTATAAGGCCACATCCCCCGTTCTTCCAAGAGCACAGTTGAGGACGGAAAAGACGTGGTTTGCGACTTGATTACAATGCCGGTCACCAGGGAAGGTGTTAGCTGCCGTCCGCCCGGTGCCCACCCCGGGCCGTCTCCGTGCTGACGCCATCGGTGCTCATCTGTTCATCTGTGTGCAAGCTGTGTCTTCTCTGTGGCGCATTAGGGGCTGCTGGGTCACCGGCGACTGGGTGTTCAGGTGCACAATTAATGTGCGCCCCCAGTAGTCAGCCCCCGATGTGCTGGCTACACCGGGGCGCAGAAGCAGCTTGCGCTTCTTGTTTTCACAAAGGTCTTTCTTTCTGAGTTCCTGCCGACGCACCTCTGCCCGCGACTCTGCCCGCCAGCCAGGCACTCGGGTCCCCTGGGGTCCCGGGTCTCCCGTCTTGAACCCCGGCCCCTTCCAGCTTCCAGCTGAGGTTTCGGGCCTCCCGGATGTGTCTGCATCCGCCTTGCGTTTCCCCGTCTGCTTACGGCCACCCGTCTTCTCCCCGTCCACCCCGCCATCTTCTCCTGAGCACAGAGGCCTCTGTGACGGGCCGTCCCACCTCCCAAGCATCTCGCAGGGCCGGCAGAGTCTGCTTTCTTGGGCGGCCCCCTACCTCATTTTTGTGTCACCGTGGATCGTGCCCACCTTGCTCCCTCCAGACGCGTTGCTTGTCCCTCTGCGTGATCCCATCCCCAGCGGAATCGCACGCTTATGCCCCTTGCGTCCATCCCTGCACTGGTTTGATGAGAACGTCATGCATTTATTGAAACTGATGGCATTGCTTGACTTGTAGGTATTTTGCGAATCACTTTACTACTTCTTGGACATAACACAGTGATGAAGTTCTCTGAGTTTCTGGAAAATACATAGAAAGTGAATCCCAGTTGGAATGAGAGGTGTTGGCCCTCAGCTGCTTGTGGGGGGGGACAGTTGCCATGTCTTTGTGAGCTCACCCCCTGCGTTCATTAGCGCGTAGTGCGCGAGGCTGTGTGGAGTCTTGTCCTTAAGGGATGGTGAGCAGGGGGCTGGGGCACCCGGTCATCTGCGTCCTCTGCCGTGGGTGGGCCCACCTGCCCTGACCTCCGTGATGGCCGCCCGCTGTGCTGGCCAGGGTGGGACTGGTCTCTGCGGGGGCCCTCGTGGTGGCTGGGGACCCCTCGTCTCTGGGACACATCTTACAGTCATGCCTGGATCTTCGCCGTGTCCTGTGTTGGGAGGTGCACAACCCCAGCTCAGAGCCTTCCGAAGTCTGGATGGCCGTGGTGTCATGCACAGTGGGATTTTCCAAGCCCCGTCATTTCTGCGTGACTTGGTTGGTGGGATTTCAGACGAGACTATCTTAGTGAACAACTGAAAGACCGGGAGTGGCTCCAGGGGCAGTTCTGGGAAAACCTGGGGCCTCCTTGGACTCCCAGATGGGAAACGAGCAGGATCAGAAGGGTCTTAACTCGTCCCCTGGACAGTGTGGTCCTGGGGGCCTCGGGCGGCAGGGACGTTCGAGGTGGAGAAGAACTAAGCTCTGGGGGCCCCTGGGGGTTGGATGGAGTGTGCACTGCGGTTTAGGAGACCCAGACTTGGAATAGGAAGGGGGTGGGAATGGCGTGAGGATGTGGGTCTACACCATCCCCGGTGGTTTTCTGGCTGGGGAAGTGGCACGTCGGGGGTGTTTTGACTCTGCCCTGAAGTGGGTTGTGGCACCTAACTCTGCTCTCCCTCCTGTTTTGCAGATGCCTTTGTGAATAGCCAGGAATGGACATTAAGTCGATCTGTTCCGGAGCTCAAAGTGGTGAGTGGACCTTCTGGCCTCAGTGGTCATCCTTCCTCACCCGCAGGAGAGCGGGGCTGTGTGAGAGGCGGGACGTGGCGTGCGGGCACGCCCAGGCCTGCATCCCGAGGGGCCTGCTTGTCCCGGGGCCCGGGTGGGGCCATGCTTCTGGGCACGTCCCAGGAAGGGCCAGGTGCAGCTGGCCATTTGGGACCAGAGCCCTGAGCGTGCCTGGGGTGGCCACGCCGGTCCGCCCATCATCCTGGCTCTCCTGCCCGTGTGCACACATGTGTGAGAGTGTCACACACACACACGCACAGATGGGCCTTCATTTGTCCTGTGCCAGGATGCCGTGGGAGGTTTCTGTGAAGTTTTGGAATTCATCATTTAAAAAACGTCACTGGTCGTTTACTGTGTGACAGAGTAATGACATGAAATTAAAAGAAGATTTTGTGTTTATTAAAAACTTTATTCTTTCAGTGAGATCATTTAAAGCTTCAAATGGCTGTACGTAAAAAGTGATTTGGTGCTTTGCAACCGCACCTTTGAGCACATGTACACCATGTTCTCCACGTTAGGACGGGGGGAAGGGACCAGTATAACCTTTAAATAGTCATGTTCTTTGTCATAATGTAAATAGCATTGAGGAGAAGTATCTGTGTGTGTGTGTGTGCACGCGTGTGTGTGTATGCACATGTTCGTGTACTTACATACGTGTAAGGATACGTATCTGTATATATGCATATATACTTATGTGTATGTGCGTGTAATTTGTGTGCTCTGTGTGTGTATGTTTATATACATAGATGTGTGTGTATTTGCCCAGGGTGTGTGTGTGTGTGTGTGTGTGTGTGTGTGTAGATCTGCATATGCCTGTGTGTATTTATGTGTGCTGTGTGTGTGTGTGTATGTATATATATGTTTCTACGCATAAATGTGTGTGTGTTGTGGTGTGTATATGTGTGTACAGGTGTGTGGCCTGGGCGTCTGCTTTGAACCCCCCAGCGGTGGCCCTGACGGTAGAATGCAGGCAGACAGGCCCTTCTGGCTCATTCCTGCCAAGGACGGGCGGCCTGGGCACAGGCTTCTCTGTCCGTCCTGGCCCCTTGCGCTCAGCCCCTCCCTCCCTGTGCCCTCCATCCGGGCTCTGTGCTGCTGTTGGCTCCAGTCTGGCTGCCAGCGACCCCCCCGGACACCACAGGCCCAGCCTCAGTAGTGCTTCGCGGGTGACCCAGGGCAGGGGCCCGATCCTGCACGTGTCTCGCTTCTGAGATGAAGAGACTGGGCCCACAAGGAACGTGCTGGACCCAGAAGAGAGTATAGATGTGACTTGTCACCAGGAGAAACACATGTTTAAACCTGAGAGGTAAAGGGTGACGTGGGAAGCTTGCTGAGATCTGCGTGCCCGCCTGTCGTGTCCGACATGCCCGTCCCCGCTGCCACCGCTGGCTGTCTTGGATGGGGGACACCCGTCCCCGCCACAGCTCTGACCTTTATTTGCAAGCACCTGCCGGCAGGTTTCCTTCCTGGGGGGAGGCGATGGGTCTGCCGGCCCCGCACCCCTTCCCGAAGCCGGGGTCCTGCCTCGCGTTCTGTAGCCTGGCACAGGATTCCCCGCGGGCACGGTCAGGAGGCGCTGGTCGAGTGAGTACTGCAGAGTTGGCCGCACTGGGGCTGGAGGTCTGGGGGGAGATGCACGTTGCAGAGACGCCCTCAGCCCCACGAAACAGCCCCGGGCACCTGCATGTTCCACGACCAGGGTGCAGCGACAGGAACCTCGCCGTGGGGACGGTGACACGGGCCGCGCGGGAGGCGCTCGCTCTGTGCCGGCCGTGCGGTGTGGGCCTCACCTGCGTCTTGCTGTCACCTGCCTGCTGCCCACGACTCGGTACTGTTCTCCCCCCATCAAGACAAGGAAACACCCTCAAGTCCTGAGAGTTCCCGAGCCGCACGCCACCAGCAGGGGGCGGTGCTGGGATTTGAACCCGTGGCTTGCTCTTCCTGTCCAGCGGGCCCCTCCTCTGTCTTGCTGCCCGGCCGCGGCTGCCTGCCCCATGTGGCCCCTGAGTGCTTGCAGGGTGGCCCGTGGACGGACGAGCTGAAATCGGACTTTCCATCGACATTAAATCAACTTAACCCCACGGAGCGGCGTGAGGCCGACGGGTCCCCCGGACAGGATTACAGTCCGACTGTGATCCTCGGGTATTGACCTGTCTGATTTGCGGAGTTCGGGGGTGTTGTGCCGGAGCCAACATGTTCGTACCAGCCCATAATTGAGGATGCTCCTAAAAACTGGTTTTCGCTGGTATTTCAAAGACATGTAATTTCCTGGAGTGAATGACCAGAGGTGCGGAAGAGGGGCACGTTAGGAGGCAGCATGGACCCGCGCTCCCCGAGTGTGACCGTTCTGAGGCTTTCCGGAACGTGCTGAAGGTTGACCGCGTCCCCAGATGAGGCACCGGGCCTCTGCATTCAGGCGGAAGAAGTTCTCTTTGTCCTGCCCTGAGTGCGGACGGACAGACCCCGGCGGGAAGGCCCTGCTCCGGTCAGCATGGCCAGGCGGCCTGTCCTTGGCAGGGCCCTTCTGTGCCCAGGATTTCTCCGCGTCTCCAGAAAGTGCTCCTTTGTTCAGAGGCAGCCCCTGTGCGTCCATAGGGCGGCCGTTGTTCTGCGCCCTCGCACGACACCCCCGAGGCAGGTGGCCCCTTAGGTCATCGCCTCCGGGATCCCTGACTTCTGTGTCACAAACGCAGCAGCTCAATGACATAATCGCAAGCCTCAAATGGACTCTTTATGTGCTGTTTCGCAATAAATCTTCTGGAACCTGTCAGAGGAAAGAATCTCCGTGTTTGCCTCCTTTGCAGGCGAGGTGGTGCCAAGCCTCGTGTTCTCCCGAGTCGTCTTCTGCGTGGACAACCAATGACCGGTTGCCCTTGGAGCCGGACGCCGCTCGCCATCCCGCGCGGCAGGCTGTGGGTGCTCCCTGCTCACGTCCCGCCCGCAGAGGGGGCCTTAGCCACTTGTCACGCCCTCTCATGGGTTTCCATTGGATTCCCCGCTGGGATTTTTACTGACAGCCTTGATTTCCTTTCCAGCAGAACTGCGCTAAGTGTAGCAGGTAAGCGGTGAGGTTGGGATGCCCGAGAGACCGTCTAAACGGACACCGTGCTCTTTGCCCTTGAGTAACGGGGGCCCCGACAGCGGGGCAGGCCCCGCGGTGCAGTGACGGCGTCTGGCCCAGGGGAGGCCGTCGGTCGTCTTCCGGACACCTCACCCGTGCTCCCGAGCTGCTCCGCACGAAGCCCGTAGACGAGGGGGGGCTCTCGTCCTTCTATCTAGAAGCCGTTGTGGAACCTGAAGGATCGTCACAGCCTAGAGGGCGTGTCCGTCCCCGTGTCCTATTTTATTTCCGCCTCACGGCCCGCTGTTCGTTTCTGCAGCTGTTCAAGTTTACACACGGCCCCTGGGGCGCCAGCGGAAGGTCTCTGGGACGGCCCTTGGCCTCCCCCCCCCGCCCCGCACCCCAGGACGGGCCTTCTCCTCCTGCAGGGGAAGCGCGTTCTCCGCAAGGCTTGGTGCGCGAGGAGGAAGGAGTAGACCACGTGCGGGAAGCGCACACCGAGCGGGGTTTGATTTTGAGCGTTTTCCTCCTCAGGAAGGAGAAACTCGAATCTTAATTAAAGATTTAATTTTGCTGCACACACTGGTTTGGAATTTCTCCACAGGAAGCTGGCAAACAGCAGGTGCCCTTGAGCAAACGAATAATTAATAGGTAGGTATTCGCGGATTAGAGAGGCCCCAGGTGGAAGGGAGGCCGTGAGTCACGTCGGAGAGGGAAACATCTTTATTCCGGCTCTGCCCGCGCCGCCTGGCCCTGTGCCCTAGCGACCAGGCATCTCTGTTGGTGCTGGTGCTGGAGCCGTGCACTCCTCCACTTATTGGCCCGTTTACACAGCGGGTGCTGTCGGGAGCCTCCCGGGCCGGGAGCAGCGCCGGGACCCAGGGGCCGAGCCCCCACACCCTGCGCTTCGGGGTTGTCAGCACCTCCTGTCAGACCCATAGAGCGATGCTGGTAAAACCAGGTCACCGGACGGTGTTGTGAGGAGGCCCCTATGGGGGCTCTGAGGAGAGGTGCCTGGTGGAGGCTGTGCTTTAGGAAGGCTTCTCGGGGGAGGTGACCTCCGACGTGCTTGCCGAGCAGAGAGCAGGAATAGTGCAGGAGGCGGCTTCCAGGAGCCTCGCTGGTGCTCCCGGTGCAGAGGGCAGCCTGGAGGCAGGGAGGCAGCTAGCGTCTGCCCCCGTGACCCGGTGTGAGTGGGGAAGCCCTCAGGAGCACGGGGGGGGGGGGGCGGGCGGGCATGGGAATCCTGGATGGTTTCCACATTTCCAGTGTGGGAGGCCGGGTGGGGTGGGGCCACACAGGGCGACCAGCCAGCGGGGGTGGGGGTAGAGCGTGCCATCTGCACGTGCAGGGGCGCACGTGGAGCACTTGCGTGACTGGGGCTTGGAGAACGGCACTGGGGAGCAGCGGGTACTGAGGGCGGGAGGGGCGTGGCCAGCCACACGGGGGGGGGCGCGAGAGCCCAGGGTCTAGAAGCAGCCAGGAGATCTGGAAGGCGCTCACGTGGGCCGAGAGGGAATCCCAGGAGGAGGCTCAGGGCAGGAGGTTTGAAGAAAGTGCACCTGGTCTGGGGCTTCCAGCGACGGGTCAGGAGCGCGGGGAGGCCTAGCGCTTTTAGCAACGAGGCCGTCGCGGACCTCGGGGCCAGGGACCTCGGGGCCAGGGACCTCGGGGCCAGCCTCCTCGCGGCTCCTGGATCAGCACCTGAGATCCTGAGGGTTGCAGGTGGGACCAGGCGGGAGGGAGCCCGGCCCTGGTGGGAAAGGGGAGGCTGGCTCTCATAGGAGGTCACCTGCGTCCGGAGTCAGGGCTCAGTTTTGTGTTTCTTAAAGAATTGATGTGGGCGTGCTTAAAGGCAGAGAGGAAAGTTCTGGTGGGGAAGATACGGGTACAGGAGGGGGGTGTTGACGGGCAGCTTGCAGAGAAGGCAGAGGAAGTGAGGTCCCCAGCACAGGCCAAGGGACGCCCTCCCAACGGGCCGCCGCCGCCCTCAAGTCCACATATCTTGGCTGTGCCAGCAGGGGCCTCTTCCTGAAGGAGGTATCCTACGGGCCACGCTTCCCGCCGGGTTCCTGTGTTTTACTCCACCTCCACCAGCTCCCTGCCAGAGCCACGGCCCCTCCTGATTTCTTGATGGGCATTTTTAACCTGGTCCAGACCCCTCTGTGGCCTTGACCATGGGCTGAGCCCCTCCGGTCCCTCCCCACAGCTCTTTCTCGATGTTTCTCAGCTGGTCTGGTTCCAGAAGCAACCCCAGAGTCTTGGCGGAATGTACCAGAATACCCTCCCCAGTCCCATTTCATTCTGTGCTGCGCCATGCCCCATTTGACGCTGCGAACCCTGCTGAGGCCGGTGAGGGTGCACAGTCGGTGGCGGGGGGCCGACTCGGCGTACGCTCCCCTGGTGGGCACGCTGCACGCGGCGCCCTGAAGAACGCCGCTGTCCGTGGGTCCCGATGGTGCTGACGCTCTCCGAGCCGGCGAGGCTGCCTGGAGCGGGAGGTGGGAATCGAGGGCCTCGGAGTCCCTTCCTCTTCCGGAGGAGAATTCAGTGAGCCAGGTTCGGGCCCTCCGGCCGCCAGCTTGCTGGTGGTCACGCCTAGACTTACTGTACGTTTTCACACACACACACACACACAGCCCCGTTTGCGGATCGATGAGGTGAGTGGTGTAATAATACTGAACAGTCGTCTGATTCTTTGTTTCAGGGAATCGTGGGTAACCTGGCCAGCGGCAAGTCGGCCCTGGTGCACCGGTATCTGACCGGCACTTACGTCCAGGAGGAGTCTCCCGAAGGTATGCTGTGTGGCGGGCCCGCCGGGCCCGGGAGCCTTTAGCCTACGGCAGCTTCCTGTAGCGCACTCTAAGTCGTGACTGTGACACACTCGTTTTGAGAAAGAATAAAATACCAGGCAGTGAAAATCCTTAGGTATGTTGTTTCCTCTGCAGTATTTTTAGCCGCTGATGATACTGCCTCTGGCGCTTGGAGCAGTAAAAGTAGAGCCGTGAAGTGCTGTTGAATTTATTTCCTATCCAACAGTCCTGGCGTTTCCAATGTTAATCCAGGGTCACCCCTTTAAACGTGACTCGGACATTTGTCTGTTCCGGATACTAAGTCTGTACGCAATTCGTACGGACTGTTACGTAGTCACAGATGGGTACCACCACCGCACATCTGAGTATGTTTCCCCCATATAGTGTATTCTAAACATTGAAGAATCATTTTGCATGAGAGCAAGAGATTTCTTTTGCCATTAGGCTTTTGCTTCTTGAGTTAACATGTTCATGTTTTATTTTTTGCTTTAAGTAGAGTTAAGGCAGTGCAGTGACAGGAAGCCACAGAACCCCTGTGTTCTTTAACGCACGTAGAGTTCACAGGTAGTTTTCTGAGTTGTATTTTCTCTCCGTGTAACCTTTTAAAATCCAACTCTGAGACACTGAATTTCTGGTTCCTTCTTTTTCTTACTGGCTGTTCCATTCTTTGCAGATATGGATGCAGGTAACTATACATTTTCTTCATGGCAGAACTTGTGTTGTTGGAAGAGAGAGGAGAGACCCAACTTCACACTGTAGTGTTCCCTTCCCTCCTCGTTCTGTGTGTCACCCGATTTTGTTTCATTTCATCCTTTGATTTCAGTTGAACATTTCACCCTGTTTTGTCCCTTAGATGTCTTCTTAGGAGTAGCTTCCGTGTTTCCTGTAACACCTGTTCTAGCATTTAACTCTCGTCCGTAACCATTCAGAAAAGTCCGGAAGGCTGGCATTGTGGGCCCTTCGGGGCTCTGCTGTCACTGTGCAGAATTCCGCCACCCCATTGTCACAGCCTCGTGGTGGTCACCTCAGGGAAAGGCCCGCTTTTCCGTTGTCCACGGGGAGAGGGGGGCTTAGGGCGGTGGGTTATCTAGGCTCCCGGGTGGGGATAGGAGGGAAGCAGGGCGGCTGTCTGATGGAGGACATTTCTAGCACATGCTAGAAAACGGCATGGTTTGGAGACGGGGTTCGGGGGGGCGTGTGTGGGCAAGGACAGAAGGATCCAGGTCTTTCTGGCTTCTTCCCTGGGGTCTGCTCTGCTCTGTGCTGGTGTTGAATTTGTTCCTTGGTTTCTGAGCGTGGAATTTAGTCGTTTTGATTCCACGTGGAGAGTAGGAACATCATTCTCGGGCTTTCTGCCTTCTCACCGGGTTAGGCGGCGTGTGGGTCAGTGGCCCCAGTGCTGAGGGACTGGCTGGCCTGAACTCACACGGTCCCCTGCTCCGCTACATCTGCCTGCACTCTCCTTAGATGCTCCGGTTTCCGCCGGGGCCGCCGGTGACCTGGTGCGGGCCCTGGTCGTGCCGCCGGCGCTCTGGCGTCGGGCTCGGCGTCCGGTGTGGTCAGTGTGGGAGGCCCGGAGCCGAGGACGCTGTTCCCGTCCCCACGCGGCGCGCTTCTGTGATTTCTGTGGCTTCTTCTGCTTCCCCACTTGCTATTTCCATCGCATTTGGAGCTGTGGTTTCTTTGCCGGGAGCCTTTACATTTTGTTGAGCATAAAGGCATTTTCCTTGAATGTTCCTGCTTCAGAAGTAGTAAAAATTGTACCCAGCGGGGTGACTTAAACCGTGGTCTCTAATGAACGCACTGCTTTCACACATTTTATTCTACTGAAATTTCATAGCGTCACATACAGTTTTAAAAATGCGTGATTTCAAAGGGTAGGGGCGTGAGTGGCTGCAGCGAGGGCATGCCTGTCCCCACCGTGACGCCCCTCCCCCTCCCTTCCTCCAGTGGGGCCTGTGTCCAGGGCCTCTTGAACCAGGGGAAGGACTCTCAGTGATGTTCTCCCTCGACTTGCAGGGCTCAGTATGCCCACCTGTGTTCTCACGCGGCCCCGGGTCACGGCAGGGGCTGCCACGTGCGCCCTAGGGACATGCGTCCGGGCGTCTGGCCGCAGAAGGAACTGGGGCCAGGTGCCGCCCTGTGCCGGGAACCCCGGAGGCCGCAGTGAATCTCTGTCCTCCAGGGGCTGCCCGCACGTGCCGTCCTGGGGGCCACGACCCTGCCACTCACACAGGGAGCCGACCCCCACTTCCTGTCCACGTGCCTGGCCGAGTTCGGGACAGCAGGAGAATCGGGTTATTTCTGGAAGGACAGGGACCAGGAGAGCCTGGGTTTGTCACCGCCAGGGAGCCCATGCCTAGACAGTGATTACAGTTCTTGTTGAGTGTGGTAACACCGGGGGCCTGTACCTGCTTCATCGAGAAGCTTCACATCCAGAACGTTCTGGAGTCAGGATGTACCGAGTCGTTGCCCAGGTTTGCGGAGCGTGTCCAGTGAAGGGACCCTGTCCTGCGTGTGCCGGCGGCAGGTGAAGCCGATTGTAGCTTGGCCCCACCTGCGGCAGCTCACGGAGACTGAAGGTCAGGTTCTCGGGCAGCTAGCGGGTGACGGGCATCTCCAGCGCCACGCTGGGGCGGTGCCCGTGGAGGGAGCCACGCGGCCCGCCCGCGGCTGATTTGTCCTCCTCTTCCTCTCGCGGCCGCTGGTGACCAGCTGTAGTGACTGGTCGCACGCGGCAGTGACTTCAGGCGGGAGGCTTGCTGCTGCCGGGCTCTGAGGGCTGCCGCGCACCTGGCGCCCTCCTGCCCTCCCCTGGCCGTCCCTTGACTTAATGGGCGTGTGAGTGTCCTTCGGCGTTGCTCTGACCCATGACGGGACCCGTAGGTGGCAGGCGGTGTGAGGCGGGGAAGGGACGAGTCCTCCGTCCCTAACGCTCTGGTGCGGGATGACCCCAGACTTTTGCCGGAACGTACTTTGCATCAGATCGGTTGTGATTGCATCTCCCATCTGTGTGATTCGTCCTCGCTGATATTTTACCCTCGTAGGAAGGAGAGTCGACGCGATTTTAGTAATTTTAAAGATGCAGTTTAAATGAGGGATGGATTTCAATATTATGTGGGGTTTTTTAACTAGGAAGTTAGCAAGCAAAAGTGGGCACCTCCCCGGGGCGCCCGCGAGTCCATCAGAGTAATCCGAGGAGTAAAATTTTGTGCAGGCAAATATCCGGTCAGCCGTGCATGTGCCTATGTGCGTGTGTGGGGTGTGTGTGTGTGTGAGTGAGAGTCCTAAGGCCGCCACAACAAATGACTACAAACCGAGTGGCTTAAATCAGCAGAACTTCATTGTCACAGCTCTGCAGCCAGAAGCCTGAGATGAAGGTGTTGGTGTGGTTGGTTCTTTCTGGAAGGCTCTGAGCACGAGTCTGTTCTGTGCCGCAGCTGCTGACAGCTCTCGGCGCCCCTTGGCTTGGAGACTGATCACTGCCATCTCTGTCCCTGCCGTGCGACATTCTTCCCGTGTCCTTGTCTCTGTGTCCAGATTTCCCTCTTCTCGTGGGGGCGCTGGTCCCTGGGTGTAGGGTCGCCTCCCGTTCTCTGGTCTGACCTCCTCTTCATCGCACCTGCCAAGATCTAGATGAAGCCACACACAGGCGTCGGGGCCAGGGCTTGACCATCTCTCTTGTGGCTGGAATCCGTCCCACGCCTGGCGCTCCCTGTGTTGCACACACGCAGTGTGCAAGCAGAAGCTGCAGGCGGCACCGTGTTGCCTGCCCCCTCCTGGCGGCGGGAGGAGTGAGGCGGGACCCTGGCTCTTCCGGGGAGGCCTCGCTGCTGGCTCCCTCACGGATGAGATGAGTGCGCGTGTGACCTTCACCCCTCTGATGGGAATTTCACGGCTGCCATTCACCTTCAGTAAAAGGAAGCAGATGAAAATTACCCCTTTGCTATCGATGCCCTATTAATAGCCGCTAATTAGAATTGTGAATGATGTTTTGGGCTTGTAATTGGAGTTTCCACCGCGTGTATGTGCTTCGCATTCACAGTGCACTCCCCCCTCCCCACCACAGACCCCCGTGACCGCCATGCGGCGTTTAACTCTCTCCCTTTGAAACTAAGAAAACGAAAGAGGAACGGAAACCAGGCTGTCCAGTGTCCAGTGGGAATTTGACAGCGTGGACCTGCCCTGAGCCCCTGCACCCCGTGCAGGCTGGGAGGCTGTGGGCTACGGCGTCTGGAGAGACTGAGCTTTAGAATGGGACCACTGCCCTGAGACCTGGTGTCCGGGACACCCCTCAGTTCTTCCCCCTCATGCTGTGGACCCTGCTGAGCTGTGCGGACGGCTGTGCGGAAGCGCCCAGAGCCCGGGGCCGCTCACACCCAGAGCCGCCTTCTTGGGGGGGTGCAGGGGATGGGCCCACGAGCTAAGACGGGACTCAGCAGCCCGGTGGTTTGAGTGGAAGGTTTTAAGGTCACTGGAGACAGGCTTAAGAATGGCCACGGACCCTCCTTCCTGTGATTATAAAATTAATGGCTCTTAGCTAAGTTTTCAAGGAAGTACTGGAATGAAACGGGGCAGAAGGTACCGGGGTGCCCGTCCCTAGTTGTGGATGTCACGTGCGGGCGGACAGCTCTGTGGCCCCCGCCCCCTGCGGCGGGCACGTACTGGCGGCGAGGTCCCTTCGAGCCGGCTGCCCCTCCCCTAGTCCTGACACAGGACCCTGCCTGCGTCGGTCTCAGGGCAGCAGATCTGTTCTCAGGAGCACATGCGTCGGAAATATTTTTTTTAATGAATGTTTACTTAGTTGCTTAGACACAAACCATGTGGGAAACACTTAGCCATATTTTCTGGGACACATGAGATGCATTTAGGCTGGCCACCCCCAGAACCCTTTCCAAATCGAATAAACGTAAGAAACATTTTTGTCAGCTACCACCGCTCAACAGATGTTAGGGCTTATTTCTAAACACGTCCTTTTGTGCTGTTTAACGTTCCAGTGAAAAAAATCTGTAAACTCTAATAAAAGTTGAGTCGTTTTGAAATCTAGCCACTTAAATGTTTTCAACATAATTTTACCATGTTACCCATAACCAAGTGGTTATGTGTCCCTGATAATTTTTTTTTTTTTTTTAATTTCTAGGAGAGAGAGAGAGAGACAGCATGAGCAGGGGAGGGTCAGAGAGAGAGGGAGTCACAGACTGAAACAGGCTCCAGGCTCTGAGCTGGCAGTCAGCACAGAGCCCGACGCGGGGCTCGAACCCATGAACCGCGAGATCATGACCTAAGCGAAAGTCGGACGCTTAACCGACTAAGCCACCCAGGCGCCCCCTTGATAATTTTTTAACGAGGGTTATCTGTAAACCTTAAGATTACGAGCAGCCATCTGGTAGGTTGGTTTAATAGTCTGATCTTTCACTTCCCTGATGGGTTCAGACCAGCCTCTGACCGCGGAAATGTCACTGAGCTCTCCTTTCTTCCGTCCGCAGTGTAGTCCGTTAACTCTGTCCTCTCCCAGTGAGCACACACGGAGGCTCAGGTGATGTCCAGAGTAGGTGAAGGCTACTAAAATTCCTAGTAGAGCCACCAAGAAACAGTAAAAGAGAAGCATATTCTACATGGAAGAGAAAGCTGTAAAGTAAGAATAAAGAGGGGGGGTGCCTGGGGGGCTCAGTCGGTGAGCGTCCG